GCCTTAAAACAGGGATTGAGCTTAGCTGATCCTCCATTCTGGTTCTCTGTCAAGAAAAATGTAGTGCACAATATATCACAACCAGTTGGAAACTAAAGTGTTGATTTAATAAATCTTTTATAATAAAATGATTTCAGGCAGGACGATATTAATTGCATGTTGCAATATATCATTTTACAACTATTAACTTTTGATGAGATTGATACAATCATTTATCAAACCCAGGAATTCATTTTCAGAGAGACCAAAATGGTTTTATTACATTACTTTTTTTAATCAATCTCCAATTTCTAGTATTTGCTCAAGATATTAACTGCTCCTTTTAAACTAAGTATAATATCGGTTTTGGCAGTTGCAGAACCTTTTAATATTGTGTAGTACAGCTTGAATTGATTATTTCTTTTATTAAATAGTATTTGTATATATTTGTTCATGCATTGACCTATTGACTGACTCTGACAGAGTATACAGTATGGCAGTACTTTGATTTTCTATTCACTAAGGTATTTACATCCTTGGTTTTCTATTTCTTTATTCTGATTGGTTACTCTGATAACTCTTTTGATATTGAAGCACTTTTTTCAAATTCTTCACAGAGATATAGAACACTGACACTTTATTGTGATATTCATATATTTAAATATTCTTCTTATTCTGGAAACCATCAATTTTTAAATTGTGACTAACATTTCTGTAAGGTTTTAATTTGATTTTGAATTCTACATTTATGACTTAAATTTATCAGACATTGCATCTACATTACCAAATTTACCTGATATCGCATTAACATTTCTGAAAGGTTTCAATTTTATTTTGAATTTTTAACATGTTTGACTAAAATTTACCAGACATCACATCTACATTTCCAAAAGGGTCTTCTTTAATTTTGAAATCTTATCTAATGACTAAACTTTACCTGACATCGCATTAACATTTCAAAGAAGTTTTCATCGGGGACATTTTCTTCTTTCTGTTGTAGAATTTGGTTAATCACATCCTGAGAATTTAATCCTGGGAATCGTAAATCTGCTCGCTGATCATCCATTCGAGAACTCTGAATTCCAGCTACCATATCTAAAAACTCTTGAGCACCAGGTGAGGACCCTATAAACATAGTAAATAAAAAAGGTTTACAAAAATCTATCTATAAATCATTTTCTTAGAAGAAATTTCATATTTCAGTCTGGAAAAGTTTCTATCCTGTATTGTTCATTCTTGGAATTACATTTTAAAAGTAATTCATTTTTTTATTTGGAAAAGTTTCTATCCTGTAATTAACATTTTCATAAAATAGTTGTTTTATCACTAAATTTTAGATTTTATTTCTATTTTGTTTTAATATTAAAAAAATATTGGTTTACAGGAAGTCACAAAGGTTCCTTTAACAATTTGACGTCACAAAAGAAATGTCTGACACCACAAAAAAAAAACTGACTGTTGCATGACATTAGTAGTTCAAGTGTCGCAGATTCTCAAATAGAGATAATGTGTATTATCCCCGACTTTATATATTTCTAGGATTTTGATTGGTTAACGCACGTCCTTACAAAACCCATAGCCCCGGGTTGTTGCTAACCCATATACCCAGAGTCCTAGACATTGCTACCCATTACACCATGGAACTTCATGCGCGTTTTCCTTAGTTCCATGGTTGTTCCTTGTGAAATATTGAATTCTTTAGATTTACCATGATGTCTGTAATTAAATATTAAATCCACTAACGATTTTATCTTATTATGTCGATCATTTGCACTCATTTTAGTAAAGGTATCACTTGGCTGCCACATTGTCAATGAATGGGACTACTGACCTACCTATGTAAATGACCCACGTTGACGTCACACCGTCTATGATGTAGCTCTCACAACATTGAGCGCCAAATTCGACCCATTCCAGCTTAACTGTCTCTGGATTAAAAGCGTCTTATATTTGACACCTGTAGGGTTCTACCAAAGGTAGTACTCTACACCCCGTTGAAAATATGTCAAGGCCTTTACAAAGAGGGTGCACTGAATCTTAATCTTAGTTATAAAAAAAAGTTTGAAAAAAAGACTCTGATTTTGAATATCTTATCTTTGTAATACAATTTATAGGGATTATACTATGCCATCTTTTGCATCTCATGTAGATTTTGCTTTGTCTATTTTGGTTTTGTATTTTTTCTAAAAATTGAAAAATAGCTTTAAACTGAATCCTTTCAGTAAAGTAAACACTCACATGTCTTGTAAATCTGTGATACACAAATTTGTTGTGAATAAAATTGAGAATGGAAATGGGGAATATGTCAAAGAGACAACAACCCGACCAAAGAGCAGACAATATATTTTTGTTGCACTATAAATGTGACATTAATTGTATCTAAACTCATATTTTAAATTAAAATATAAAAAATAATATGTTGATTACCAGAACACATATTGAATAATTTTGTATTTTATATCATTCATCAATAATCTAACAAATGTATAAAAATAATTTGTGAATTAGCAGCTGTTCACAAATGAACAAAACCAAAATCACTCAAAACATTGTTTTTGCATATTTTATTGATTTCTCTATTTCTGAAATTAAAACAATTCAACTATTTTTTTTGTAGATTTTATTTTGTGGTTTCTACTTTTTTCCTGGTCTATGATTATGTGTAAATTTGTCCACAGCTGTTAATGATCACAGTTTGAATTTGAATGTTTTTTTTTTTGTTGCTCAACATTTATCTGTAAGCTCAGTGTCAAATAATGACAAGAATCATACCTCCTTTTTACCTTCTGACAGGTTTTTTTTTCTCACTTTGATAGACAATTAGATAAATTTCTACTTGAGTCTTACTTCTCTTGATACCTGTAAGTGTTTGTTTGCATATGGTAATGCCTATTTAATTAAAGGTCAAAGTACGGCCTTTAAAACGGAGCCTTGGCTCACACGGAACAGCAAGCTATGAAGGCCCCCAAAATTACTAGTGTAAAACCATTCAAACAGGAAAACCAACGGTCTAATCTATATAAATAACGAGAAACGAGAAACCCTTATAAACCACACCAACAAACGACCACCACTGAACAACAGGCTCCTGACTTAAGACAGGTGTATGAAACTGCAGCTGGTTTAAACGTTTAAGACTTACCTCCCTTGATATCTGTTTATTTGCATATGGTAATGTCTCTTCGTGGTGACCCAATGCTTTGTGTGCATTTCCTAGACTTCAACATGCACGACCTTTCCCTACTCTATCCTTGCGTGCTATCTCTAAATGTCTTTAATGATATTCAGTGGCCTTTTCATAGTCTCTAAGTAATGTATGAGTATTGCCTAAACTGTAACAAGCTTGGGCTTCTAAAGCTTTGTCTCATAATTGTTTGGCTATTTGTAATGATTTCCTGAAAGATATTGAAATATATATATCAGTTTAAACAAGTCCAATAATTTCTGTGAAGGTTCAAAATTTCTTTGGTGCTCCTAGTTGTGATAGAATAAAAATAAGGATAAGCAAGTCAGCAAGATTGTGTTGAATTATTTAAATGCCATCTTTATAAAATTTGCAAAAAGAGTCACAAGGTCAGCTAAAATTATTGAAGATAGTCTGGTAAACACATTGTTATCGATTTTGTTTTTCTACTTATGAAAAGTACAATTAAACCTGCTTAAAGAAACCTTTTTTAACTAAATATTGTGTTCCTATTCATTTGGTGTTTTGTTTACAAGCATAAAAAATTAACTAAAGAATTTATTTGTCTTCCATGATATTTGAAACAATAAACTTCCATAAATTAGTACTATTTGGTTATTCATAATTAACCTGCTGGATGTTAAGTTGCCATTCATTAAACAATTATTCAACGTGAAGAGCCAATCAAATAATCTTTTTACATTCTATCTTCACAAGATTTGTTTCAACAACAAGCTGGTTTTTATAGAATTATGGAATTTAAAATTTGTTAATTGTTTATACACGTTCATTATTAATTTTGAGCACGTTCATATAGCCGTCATGTAATGAAATGTCAATGTTTTATCTATGGTTATACCGTCTATGCAGTTTTTCGGCATTTTTATTTCAATAATAAAACAATCACTTCGTTAGCATTTTAAGTCAATTTTTGCCACATGACCATGTATATTTTTTTTGGCTGTTATACAACGATGACATTATTAGTTACAGGAACTGTTACCGATTATTTCTAGTTTCTGTAGTCTTCAAGAATAAAAATATAACTTATACCTATAATCATCTCAGGCAGTCTCAAATTCATTGAGACATATATAAGTTATCTCCCCTTGGTTTAATGTTATAACTCATACCTATAATTATCGCAGGCAGTCTCAAATTCATTGAGAAATATATAAGTTATCTCCCCTTGGTTTAATGTTATAACTCATACATATAATCGTCGCAGGCAGTCTCAAATTCATTGAGAAATATATAAGTTTTCTCTTCTTGGTTTAATGTCTTTACTTTTGTGTGTAGAAAGCTACTAAAGGCTACATAAAGCCTGAATGGTTCATCTGATAAAAATGATTGACCATATTGATAATCATGTTTAATTCAGGGGGGGAAATGATAAACAAAATCTTCTAAGCCTCCCGCCCACACCCTTTGTTCACAGATGTTGTCTGTTAATTAAACACTCAAGTTATTACAAATTCATCATATATATGAGCCAAACAATAAAAGGTTAATTTTTGGTTTCAGACAAATTAGCATTTTTGTAGATCGTGTATTAATTGCTGATTAGTTTTGCTGTTTAAACTTTGTCTCTATATTTATATCTATGTAAATGTTCAAGATGATACGAAGAAATGTTAAAATTTATCATATGTAAAGCAGAGGTGATTCCTAATGATTAATTGACAATTGTCCATTAACTAGACATTAATAAAGCCATCCTAGAACAGGCAATAACAACTTAATCATTTGGGTTAATCATATATATGTAAGTTAAATTATCTTTAACTTCCTAGCTGAAAAATAAAATGTCAGTAAACTTTTCTATTTCAGATTAAAAATGTCCACAGATAAAAGGCTATCAGTTAATTACTACAAGTACCTCTGTCAAAAGATTGGATCTAAGGAGAATGTAAAAGTCAGGAGATTAGCTTACGTAATAAGTGACATTGGAACGAAGGCCTGTATAACTAGTGGAAGTAAAGGTGAAGGACTTAATCTTAGAGGCAGTGATTTTGATATAATGATTGTTGCTGCTGAATTTAAAGTTTATGAATCTGATAGAAATTATAGAGAGGTTATTTCCCATGATAATAAAATTCCTCTGATTATGGATACAGATAATACTCCACCATGTTTCACGCTTCTACGTCTTTTTAAACAACATTGATGAACAACGTACTGATCTCAAGCAAATGGTGGAAAATGACTCTCAGGGAAGTCTACTTTCAAATGAACTATACAAAATGTATTATATGAATCTAACTCAAAGTTCACCAATGTCAATCCTTCACAAAATGCATGGGCCCTGTTTATCAGACAAAAAGGATATATTTGATATTGCATACTGCTTAAAATGTGACCAATGGACATCTCAAGCCCAACCATGGATATACAGCCCACGTACAACTTGGCCACCAGTTGATATCATTTCAAAAATAACCTCATGTGGTGTGTTTTTTGTCCCAATTGGCTTGAAAGGATCCTGCAATGAAAATCTCCAGTGGAGAATTTCCTTTTCGGTAGCAGAAAAGTTTCTCATATATTCTTTCACGCATACCCAGTTTTTATGCTATGCTTTATTGAAAATCTTGCTCAAAGAAATTGTGGAAAAATATGAGGATTTGAAAGGTTTACTGTGTTCCTACTTTCGAAAGACTTTAATGTTTTGGATATCAGAAGAATCAAACCCATCAGTATGGAGACCAAACAATATCATACCATGCTTCACGGCATGTTTAAAGAGACTATTGTACTGTGTTGAATATGAGACATTATTACATTATTTCATTCCTGAAAATAATTTGTTTTATTTAAGATTCAATGTTACAAACAAAGACAAATTGATTACAATCCTGATTAATTCATATAAACAAGGAATTCAGTGTTTTAAATATTCAGAGACTTTGAAGGATTTTAAAGGACTAACTAAAGAAGTCGATTTAATGAAAGGAAATTTTAGAATAATATTAGAAACATTAGAATTGAATTTACTTTTTAAGTATCATAGCCTGCTATATAACTTGATTCATCATTCTAAAACTGTTCATTCCAGAGATATATTTACATTATATCTGTCCAGGGCACACCAAGATGTACCACAAAAGTTACAAAACCAACTCAGATCAAACAACAAACGGAACTACTACAAGTACAGACGTGACCTCAGTAATCTGCTGATAGGAACACAATCATATGCATTATCAGGATGGCTATTATTAGCTTCCTTCTTTTATGTTCATAAGAATTACTTGATATCATTAGATATTATATATTATGCCTTAAGCAAATGCACTGATGATAAAGAACTTTACCCTATCAAAGACATCCAATTAAATCAAAACCAGAAATCTGTGTTAAATTTCATGAACCAAGAAAAGATTTACATAGCAATGAAATTAATAACAGTCAGAAGTGTTAAGTTTAGTTCAAGTTCATCACTTGTTCCACAAGAACTACAATTAATGAACCAACAATTCTTTAAGGCCCGAAATTCTATTATTTCTGTTTGTTCTCCTGTAGCATTTGCACATAGTCTGAGAATGCTTTGTTATCGCCATCTACCGGTACATGACATTACATCATGTTTTCAAACTTCACGAACATTAATCATGTTAATCAGGAATTATTTAAGTAAGAAACTTAAGGAAGTTTGCTCCTCTTGTTTTTGAATTTTTGCCAGATTTTCGGAATCCTCTGGTTTTATCCATGTAGTGCCATATAGTTTCAAAAGCCATATTAGAAAATCTTATAAAATCCTTGTTATTTTTTCGTAGTTTTTGAAAGAAAAATGGTGCCAATGTTAAATATATGAAAAATCTAGAGAGAATTATTTCCCACCAAATTTTAAATGGCTTATATCTTGAAAACAAGCACAAGGAACCTTCATTTTTTTCTGCTTATTTAGTTCCTTTATTTATATAATATCAATTTATAACAATCTTTTAAAAAGCTTGTTATTATGAAACAGAGTTGCGAACATCCTTAATAGAAAAGACATTGATGACAGCTTCTTGTTTTATTATGAAAATATCTTATTTTTTCCCAGACAACTGGTATAGCTTTCCAGATGATGGAGGATACAAATAAAGCAACAAGACTATGCCAGTGTCCAGTAAATATGAAGGATAATAATTCAACCAGTGCAACATCAATGCTTTCCAAGCTTGACTGAATTCATTCAGCCTATCAAAGATGTCAAGTTATTCAACAGACAATATTTAATTATACATTATCACATTTTATACTGAATTCAATTAGCCTATCAAAGATGTCAAGTTATTCAACAGACAAGATTTCATTATACATTTCATATCATATTTTATACTGAATTCATTTAGCCTATCAAAGATGTCAAGTTATTCAACAGACAAGATTTAATTGAACATTATCACATTTTATACTGAATTCATTCAGCCTATCAAAGATGGAAAATTGAATCCCCTTCCGTGGAAAACTGAAACACCCCTCTATAGACCTCAGATTTGCAACTTCTCATAGCTATTCCACCTATTTTATATAGTTATAATGCAGTAATAAGTACCTGGTAGGAATAAAACATGTTAATATATATTTTAAACATGTTTTACGCAGCCATGGAAAATTGAACCCCTTACCATTTAAAACTGACCCCCCTTCCTATAGACCTTGGTAGGATTAAACATGTTAGAAAGTATTTAATTTTTTTTTTACCAGGATCATTTTTCCAATATGGTATTTTGAACCCCACCATGGAAAATTGAACCCCCCTGTTTCATATAAATAGTATTGCAGATTATCTAATGTACAATATGTTGGTTATAATTTTTTTGAAATTGGAGGTGTATAGAAGGGGGGTCAACATACCCTGACAAAAGGGGGAGTGGGGGTCAAAATACCATGGCTAAGTAAAATTTTCCAAACATCTTTGTAAGAATGTTTAATACATACCAACTACTTAATGGAGTATTATTGCTATGTAAAGGAGTTAGAATAGCTATAGTTTTTGAAATTAGAGGTGTATAGTAGGGGGTTTCAATATATCATGGCAAGGGGGTCAAAATACTATGGCTAAATAAAATTTTCCAAACATCTTTTCAAGCATGTTAATACATACCAACTACTTATTGGAGAATAATTACTATGAAAAGGAGTTAAAATAACTATAATTATTGAAATTGGAGGTGTATAGGAGGGGGTTCAACATACCATGGCAGGGGGGGGGGGTCAAAAATACCATAGCTAAGTAAAATTTTCAAACATCTTTATAAGCATGTTTATTTCATATCAGTTACTTATTATGGAAAACGTAGATACAAGTATCTTGTCTTGGGGAAGAATAAATCCTACTTTGTAAAGAATCAGTCTGATTCAAACAAAAAAAATCTCTGAAACTGACATTATCAAGATGCTTGATTTCTTGATTGACAACATATTTGTTACGTTTGGAGGACGTGTTTTTCAACAGACTGTCGGAATTCCAATGGGAACCAATTGTGCCCCTCTTCTTGCCGACTTGTTTCTTTATTATTATGAGGCTGACTTCATACAGGAACTTCTTAGGAAAAAAGATAAGTTAGCAATATCCTTTAACTTTACGTTCCGCTATATAGATGATGTTCTCTCACTAAATAATACAAAATTTAGTGACTATGTTGAACGAATCTATCCCATCGAACTAGAGATAAAGGATACTACAGATACAATTAAGTCTGCCTCATGTCTTGACTTACATCTAGTAATTGGCAATGAGGGTCGGTTGATAACAAAACTTTACGACAAAAGAGATGATTTCAGCTTCCTAATTGTGAACTTTCCATTTCTATGTAGCAACATTCCAGCAGCGCCTGCATACGGAGTATTTATCTCCCAATTGATACGATATTCCCGGGCTTGTATTACCTATAATGATTTCCTTGATAGAGGAATGCTGCTCACAAGGAAGCTATTAAACCAAGAGTTCCAAATGGTGAAGTTGAAATTATCCCTTCGTAAATTTTACGGACGCCATCACAAGTTGGTTGACTGTTATGAAATAACCGTTTCACAGATGATATCGGATATGTTCCTTATGTCGTAACTACAATACCCTTCCCTTTTCACGAATGTGACCTACCGAATTAGACTATTTACCGGATTTGTAATAACATAAACAACACGACGGGTGCCACATGTGGAGCAGGATCTGCTTACCCTTCCGGAGCACCTGAGATCACCCCCAGTTTTTGGTAGGGTTCGTGTTGCTTAGTCTTAGGTATCTATGTTGTGTCTTGTGTACTATTATTTGTCTGTTTGTCTTTTTGTTTTTGGCCATGGCGTTGTCAGTTTGTTTTCGATCTATGAGTTTGACTGTCCCTCTGGTATCTTTCGTCCCTCTTTTATTGAAATATTATTACTATGTAATGAGTTAGAATAACTATAATTCTTGAAATTGAAGATGTATAGGAGGGGGTTCAATATATCATGGCAGGGAGGTCAAAATACCATGGCTAATTTTCCGAACATCTTTTCCAACATGTTTAATACATACCAACTAGTTATTGGAGTATTATAACTATGTAAAGGAGTTAGAATAGCTATAAATTTTGAAATAAGAAGTGTATAGTAGGGGGTTTCAATATACCATTGCAGGGGGGGGGGGGGGGGGGGGGGGAGGGGGTCAAATTACCATGGCTAAGTAAAATTTTTCCAAACATCTTTTCCAGCATGTTTTATACATACCAACTACTTATTGGAGTATTATTACTATGTAAAGGAATTAAAATAGCTATAATTCTTGAAATTGGAGGTGTATAGGAGGGGGTTTGATATACTATTGCAGGGGGGTCAAAATACCATGGCTGTTTAATACATACCAACTACTTAATGGAGTATTATTACTATGTAAAGGAGTAAAAATAACTATAATTTTTGAAATTAGAGGTGTATAGTAGGGGTTCAATATACCATGGCAGAGGGGTCAAAATATAATGGCTAAGTAAAATTTTTCCAAACATCTTTTCCAGCATGTTTGATACATACCAACTACTTATTGGAGTATCATTACTATGTAAAGGAGTTAAAGTAGCTATAATTCTTGAAACTGGAGGTGTATAAGAGGGTGTTCAATATAACATGGCATATTAAACTCCAATAAGTAGTTGGTATGTATTAAACATGCTTATAAAGATGTTTGGAAAATTTTACGTAGCCATGGTATTTTGACCTCCCCCCAATTTTTCCATGTAATATTGAATCCCCTCCTATACACATCCAATTTGAAAAAATTATAGCTACTTTAACTCCTTTATATAGTAATAATACTCCAATTAGTTGGTATGTATTAAACGTGCTGGAAAAGATGTTTGGAAAATTTACTTAGCCATGGTATTTTCACCCCCCTGCCATGGTATATTGACCCCCTCCTTTACACCTCCAATTTCAAAATTATAGCTATTCTAACTCCTTTTCATAGTACTAATACTCAAATAAGTAGTTGGAATGTATTAAACATGGTGGAAAAGATGTTCGGAAAATTTTATTTAGCCATTGTATTTTGATACCCCTGCCATGATATATCAAACCCCCTCCTATACACCTCCAATTTCAAAAATTATAGCTATTCTAACTCCTTTACATAGTAATAATACTCCAATAAGTAGTTGGTATGTACTACACATGCTCATAAAGATGCATGGAAAATTTTACTTAGCCATGGTATTTTTACCCCCTTCCATGGTATATTGAACTCACCTCTATAGACCTCAGATTTTCAAATTGTCATAGCTATTCCAGCTATCTTATGTAGTTATAATGCATTATTAAGTATTTGGTAGGAACATTTTTTAGATAATATTTAAATTTGTGTTACGCGGCAATGGAAAATTGACCCCCTACCATGCAAAACTGAAGACCACATCCCCCCTCACCCACCCCACCCCCCGTATAGACCTCAGATATTCAAATTGTCATAGCTATTCAAGTTATGTTATATAGTAATAATGCATTAATAAGTACTTGGTAGGAAAAACATGTTCGATAATATTTAAAATTTTGTTTACTCTGCCATGGAAAATTGAACCTCCTACCATGGAAAACTAAAGCCCTATCCCCCCCCCCCCCACCCACCCCTAGTAGACCTCAGATTTTCAACTTGTCATAGCTATTCCAGTTATAATATATAGTAATAAGGCATGTATGAGAACTTGGTAGGAATAAAACATATTAAAATATATTTGAAACATTTTTTATACAGCCATGTAAAATTGAACCCCCTACCATGGAAACTGACCCTCTCCCTTATAGGCCTCAGATTTTCAAATTGTCATAGTTATTCCAACTATGTTATGTACTTATAATGCATTAATAAGTACTTGGTAGGAAAAACATGTAAGAAATTTTTTGTGTTACCCGGCCATGGAAAATTGAACCCTCTACCATGGAAAACAGAACACCCCTAATTTATCTCAGATTTTCAAATTGTCATAGCTATTCCAGCTATGTTATGTAGCTATAATGCAGTAACAAGTACTTGGTAGGAATGAAACATGTTAAAAAAAAATTTAAACATTTATCACTCAGCCATGGAAATTGAACACCCAACCACGGAAACCTGATCTCCCCCACCCCTCACCTCATTCCCCCTCGCTCTATAGACCTTAGATTTTCAAATTGTCATAGCTAGTCAAGCTATGTTATGAACTTAAAAAGCGTT